TAGTGCAGAGAAAGTATAATAGCAGCTTCTCTAGATAGTTCTAGTATTTTTAGGGGGTAGTCCATTTAGGTAGTCCATTTGGTTAGTCCACGGACTGGGAGTCAGTGTTTCGTCCACTTCCAAACTCGACACGTGTTCCCGCCTGAACTGTTGGACCGACAAAATCATACGAGGAATAAATCAATAACGCTTGGCTGCACTTTCACTTTCTGCTTGTAAATGAGTCACGTGATCAGGTTTGTTGTTGTTCTGTTTCGATCTGTTGTTTTCATATCAGGTCCAGAAGAACATTTAGTTCCTTGGGTTAAGGTAATCATGAGTAATCAAAGCCTTGAAAAACAAGATGAAGCCCGAAACCAACGCTTGGCGGACGCAGAAAATCACATCAAAGAAGCGTGCGAGATCTTACAGGGAGAAGCAGCAAGAGTTCGCCAGGAGCAGGGAACTATCGACGCCATGTCGAAGAAACTGGAACATGTTCACTTCTCCTCGACCGTAAAACTCAATGTCGGCGGTCACACCTTCACAACAAGCGTTCAAACGCTGACCAAAGATCCAAACTCGATGCTGGCGGCCATGTTTTCAGGGAAGTTTGAGATGAAACCTTCTGAAGACGGCGCGTTCTTCATCGATCGAGATGGAACCCACTTCCGGTTTATACTCAATTATCTTCGTAACGGAGAGTTGGTTTTACCAGAAGGAGCAACATTTCTCAAGGAACTTGAAACTGAAGCTAAGTTTTTATCAGATTCAAGGGATACTGGATGAATTGAAGCCCAAACATTTTGGAGAATCGGAGATTCTGACGAATGAAGAGCATCGAAGCGTGTTGCAAGGTTGGCTGCCTCCACAAGACGGCAAATGGCGTGTTCTGTTTCGAGCTTCTTGAGATGGCTTCGTTCTTGACACTTTTCATTCCAAATGTGATAACAAAGGACCCACGGTGACCATTGTGCAGAGTGGAAGCAATATTTTTGGAGGATTTACAGAAATGTCGTGGACAAGTAAGTAGACTAATGGATGAAAGGTCGTAATCTGCACATTCATTCTGCCACCCTTCCCTCCCTTCTCTCCACTACAGCTCACACAGCACAACATTAACGTTCCCTTTATGCATGGGTCCTTTATTTATAATAAATCCCAAGATTAATTTGTTACAGTGCAACCGTGGTTTAATGGGACTTTAATGAACTCGTTCGTGATATATCTGATGTTGGTTATATGTGAATGTTAGATTTTAACAATAGTGCGGTGTTATTATCAAAATGTTCGTTTTTAAAATATATCCAAGATGTCTGCCTGCAATCGGGAATGCAAGCTGTTTTCCTATGTTTTAGTGCAGTACAAAACTAGGGGTTATCAGATAGCCATCAGTTATCTCCACCTGACGAACTTTAATACTGTGAAGAGCTTTATAGTCTCCTTAGCAGCCGTTATTTAGGCTTTCACGCAAGCTTTCTTCTGCATGGGAGAAGCGTTGCGTGACGACCCAAATTGTGGCTGCAAATTCATTCTCACCCCCAGAGTCCGGGATCCTTTTGGTCAGCAGCAAAAATCATGACTTCTGGCTCCATTTTTACTCAGATCTGATTGGCTGGTAAAACAAAGAAAAGACAAAAGCTAGCTAAAAAAGAACAGAAAACGAAAACGAGTACTTGTATCCGGTTTTTCCATATATCCGATAGGGAAAAGGCCTGGGATCGAGGTTGTATATATCCAGTTGTTTCTTACCCTCGAGTTCGTTAGGCCGGGGTTCCACTGTATTAATAATCTATCTCAAAAATAATCTAGTCTCATCAGTGAAATCATATCTAATATTCATTTATTAGACTACAATAGATTGTTATATATTTGAATTTAGCGTCCATGAGCCTGTTGGGGCAACCTACTAGCATCCTATCCAGGGGGAGTAAAATTACTCCAGATTCCGAACATGCATGCATATAAAGAAACTTGACAGAAAAAACTACACACCTTCGATTATTGTACAAGAGGGCACATGTATTATACCTCAACGGTACTAAACCCCTGTGAAAACAATTGCCTTAGCTTTCTGGTGCAATCAGTTGGCATTGCTGCAGTATTTTTGTCGGCCCGCTGAGCCATGTGAGCTCAGTTATGGTCATACTTTTTATTTCTTTATTTCTGGCGGCCCGCGTTTGAATCCGCCTGTTTTTTTGTTTTTTTTCTCGCTTACTTCGAAAAAATACTGCTTAAAGAATACAAACAGAAACTGGAAGAAAACAATACAGACAGACTGTCAGAAGACTGACCAAACCACTTACCCATCCACCCAAAATACACCCTACCCGGCATACCTCGCGAGGTCCTGCGAAACACGTATCTCTAGTTTAAGTTACGTTGAACTCTGTGAACATTGATACGAGGCGTCATCTCATCAACAGGTCAGGGAGGATGGACAAGATGCTCACAAGCTTTCTTGTTTAGTATGGTCAACCCGCATGGACTGGGACCTACTAAAATGCCACTGATCAAGAATCCGGAGAAGGCCATCTACTGTAATAGCGGCTATGGACCAACGTTTGGTGGAGGGCACGACTTACACATATCAGGGAAAGTAAACACAATACTTCAAGTTATAGTATTCTCGGCAGCTCGTATGAGTGTCCTCCAGGACAGCAGAGCACATTCTTCACAGGAGCTCAGTATTTTACTGTGACAAATTACGAAGTGTTTGGACAGGTCAACTGACAACAAACAGATGAAAGGATCATACAGGAAACATTTCATCATAGCTAGGTGATCCATAGAAACATGTAGTACATGAATGGTGGGGGTAGGGGTGGGGGTAGGCGTTGTCGAAATCACCGTCCTGTGACATGCTATAATATAAAATAGGTTTCGTGAATTGTCATTAGAATAGACCCCGCATATGTATATATATAGTGTATTGGAATGCAAACCATCAGGTTCGCGAGAAGGATACTTTTAGACCTTAAGCGCGTTATTTGATCACTTTTTAAAACTTTACACCATACCAAGGTATTATGATGTGTAACGCAATGCGTGCGTTATAACTCGACTATTTTTGGCCTATGATGCGAGCAAATTGAAATTTGAATCGCATCAAATCAAATCGATTATCGTAACACAACATGGCCTAAGGGGCCCCTAGTCTTAGTATTGTGATCGAGCTTCCGTGGTTTTCTAGGAAATTACCAGTTGTAGTAAAACTTCCGGTTATTGCAGACGTCACATCAGATTACATTTTGGCGGGAAATGTTTATATAAATGGCGTCAAGAATTTATGTGGAATCATAGAACTGCTTTAACCCTTTCACTCCCAATAGTGCCATATGGCACACGATGCTATTACAAGCTCGATATTGGGTTCATTTGCATGAAATTGGGACACCAAAAAGATCTTGGTGAGATCTGCACATTGGAAGCATAAAAATCATACCCCCCTCCTATATTAGACTTGATTAACCACCCCTTCAACTTTTGCAACTTTTGCCTCTTACACTTTTAAGGTCAAGTTAATATCTGATAACAACCCACACACCAAGAGCTCCAAATTAAGCTATTGCTTAGGGGTATACTCAATATATGCAAGGAATAAGATATTTTTGAACGTTTTTCTTTTTCATTTTGGACACTCTTCAATCCAATCTGTGACTTCCTGTATGTCTGTTGGGGTGCTTTATGATATACCCCAAACAATACCTTTCAAATGGTATATTACTTGTGGTCTTTGGGTAGTTACCATTTTAGAAAAATACGGTATTTCCCATGGGAGTGAAAGGGTTAACACAGTTGAGTTTATGTAACTATTCAGTGAGAATGATCTCAGAGAACCATTCGGATTTCCCCCATACATGATTCCAATGATAATGTTTTGAAATATATTTTTTTCAGTTTGGTCAGTTCGTGTAACGTGATATCGGAGCCTCGATCAGAAGGAGATAAAAATAACTTTCACAGCATGGTGCGAGATTTCAAAACATTATCCATGGTGTGGCACGGGGAATCCTTCTCTTAGATCAGGCTCTCTTGGTGTAACTAATCAGTATGCTCTATATAGAATATATTATAAATGTGATGATGAATATATGAATGCCGAAATCATATATGTGAACTGCGGAAATGAAATTAAATGAATACATGATCATCGTAGTTATGAATGCAATTTAAGAAATTGCAATAGGCCAATTTCGATATATTAAAATTCTAACTTGGCTCCGAGGCTTATAGGGGAATAAAACAAAATAAATTATTTATTCATCCCTCAACCTCGATTCCCCAGCCTCTCTATTTTCTCGACGCTAGCGCTAGCGCGAGCGAGTTCGCTCGCGGCTACAATATATGCGATCTGAGAAAATAGAGAGGCTGTGAACAGTCTACCCCAAATCCTCGGAGCCAAGTTAGAATTTTAATACGGTCGAACATGTATATAACGGCCCTATATTAAGCGGCCACCCTCTATTAAGCGGCCAGTTTTCATAGTCCCGAATTTGTGCCCATACGAACTCTGTATTTGCTACCTGTATTAAACGGTCACCTCTATTAAGCGGTCGCGGCCACCCTTTAGCAGTCCCATGTTTGTCTGTCTTTGTTATTTTTACCTGTATTAAGCGGCCACACTTGAATGGAAACCTAAAGCCACATATCATTTTACGATTTTATTTCGCTTATAAAGGGATATATGAATCGATCAACACTACAGCACCATCAACACTGCGCTACAGAGTTGTTATTGTTTATTACTGCATGTAGTTCACCAATTTGGTAAATGCTTTCTAGATGTCAATGTACTGTATCGCTTGATTGTGTTATTGTTAGCTTGAATTATCAGTTGCTAGTGTATAACACTGTACGTCAATAAAATTGATATTTGACCACGCCCACAAATTATTTTTGGTGCACCTGTATTAAAAGGCCAACTGTATTAAGCGGCCAATTTCTAAAGTCCGAGGGTGGCCGTTTTATACAGGTTCGACTGTATATCGAAATTGGTCTATTTAAGCCTGAAAAAATTCAGGCTTCAACGGGATTTGAACCCATCACCTGCACGTTACTAGTGCGATGCTCTACCAGCCATGAAGCCACACATACTATAAATGAGTTTAGAATTAATTTACCACGCATTTTCCTTGTGCTTCAAAGGTCCAGGCAGCATGGCTTTGGCTTCTTTATTTGTTCAATCAATGCACTTTTCGTTTAGTACACGCAAACAACATGTATTGATATTTCATGGTTTCTCCTGCCATCGCCCTTCTATAGGACATCGTGACTTCGGTTTTATTTCTTTGACGAATGTTGTGATCATTTGCATTTATATATGTGCCGTCTTGGCTTTTCCCTCCCATGTGGGAGGCGTAAAGTACGCTACGCGTACTTTAGCCTCGTTTTGGCGTAAATCGTGTTTTCTCTTAAGAGCTTTGCAAAGTTACGGAATTGACCCTGATTTCTTGAAATTATGCGATACTCGTGAAACTGATGCATGTGGAAAGTTAGCATTATTTCCGAATTATTTTGGTTTCTCACTTTAAAAGTCGCTTAAGGCGGGACTAACCTAAATGCCATTTTTCCGCGACTTAACATGGGTTAAATTGAAATATCTCGTTCACGTTTCAAGCAATCCAAAATCTCTATGCTCATCCCATGAATCTATGTTATGGAATGTTTTGTAAATTTTTTGGTGATTTTTGGGTATATTTGGGAGGAAATAGTTTTGCTCAAAGGAGTTGTAAAATTTATGAAAATTAGAAATATTGAAGATTTGATGTAGTTTTAAAATAAGAATTTGAAGTTAAAAATTAGTAGATTGACATTGACAGACAGTTGATAACCACGCAAGAACACCCGCGTGGGTATCAACTGTCTGTTGGTGTTCCAAAAATTATTTTCTTTCTTCTATTCCTTCTTTAAAGCTCTTAAAATTTCCCTTGAAATTTAGGTGAAGTCCCCCCTTAAGAAGTTGTTTTTATTTTGTCAACAATCACCTGCAAAGATAACGGTATTTTTACAACAATGCGAAAATAAATGGCTACTCACACTGCTCACATATTAGAACCTACAATCAACGACAAAAGTGTTGGGAAGGTAAATACTTTTTCCTCCCTTTCCCTCCCCCCCTCTGCTCAATGTTGAGCTTCTCGTGACGTTATTCTCACAGGATTGAATTGCTAGACTCCAACTGATTGATAGGTGGGAGAGGGGGGCTGTAAAACAGTTTGTTTACGGTTTTAACTGAGTTTAATCTCTCTAATCTCACTCGGAAAAGACTATATTTTACAACCTTCCCAACTGCTTCTGTCGTCGGTTGTAGTTGATTGAGAACCTGTAGGCTAAAATTTGTTGATTTAGACCCCCAAAATACAAGTGTACAAGAACCTGTTTCAGCCTAAATATTGAAACAGATTCTTATTTGGAAAAAGTCAGTTAAAATGTTTAAAATGGAAATGTCATACTAAGAACCTGTTGTGGGTTTAAATAAATCAGAGGACCTAGAGCAGGATCTGTGTTTTTTTAAAAAATGTAGTCACAACAGAGCAGGCATAATGTACGTTTGTGACACAGAAGCAAGGGAGCACACCCATATATTGAATTAGCTTTCTGACCAGCAACAAACACTTGTTCTTTTAAAAAATAAAACTTTAAAAAAATAAAACTTAAAAAAATAAAACTTGAGAACCTAAGGAACCTAAACACTCTCCAAAAGTGGTCGCGGTCGCTAACCGGGTTTCACAATGGTGGTCGTAACTAGATCTTGGTCGCTTACGAGAGTGGTCGCAAGAAGAGCTTCGACTAGTACTGTAATGATAATAATGAAGAAAAAAGAGTACAAATAAAATCAGGGGCAGATATCTGGGGGGGGGGGGGGAGGGGGTGTTGGATTGGATTGGATAAAAATAAACACATTAAAATAGAAAATAAAATTAATTCAAGCACACTGGAAAGGACATGTAAAAGTTTTTGTTGTTTTTAGCAAATAAAATAACTAACAGCCACCCCCTTTTCCGCCCCTGTGCCCTAGCCTTTAAAAAGATGTAAACAGATTTTGAAAATGAAAGACTTACCTAAGCTTTCCATCATGACATCCAACGTAAGCTTGATGACAGCTCGTGATTTCAACTTGAGTCTTTGTATTTTTTTTATTATTATAATTATTCAAAAAGGTAGCGGCGCAGGACGAAAATAAACAAGGTATGTGTAGGCCCTGGTGCAGAGAAAGTATAATAGCAGCTTCTCTAGATAGTTCTAGTATTTTTAGGGGGTAGTCCATTTAGGTAGTCCATTTGGTTAGTCCACGGACTGGGAGTCAGTGTTTCGTCCACTTCCAAACTCGACACTTGTTCCCGCCTGAACTGTTGGACCGACAAAATCATACGAGGAATAAATCAATAACGCTTGGCTGCACTTTCACTTTCTGCTTCTAAATGAGTCACGTGATCAGGTTTGCTGTTGTTCTGTTTCGATCTGTTGTTTTCATATCAGGTCCAGAAGAACATTTAGTTCTTAGTTCAAAGTAATCATGAGTAATCAAAGCCTTGAAAAACAAGATCAACCCCGAAACCAAAGCTTGGCGGACGCAGAAAATTACATCAAAGAAGCGTGCGAGATCTTGCAGCGAGAAGCAACAAGACTTCACCAGGAGCAGGAAACTTTCGACGCCATGTCGAAGAAATTGGATCATGTTCACTTTTCCTCGAACGTAAAACTCAATGTCGGCGGTCACACCTTCACAACAAGCGTTCAAACGCTGACCAAAGATCCAAACTCGATGCTGGCGGCCATGTTTTCCGGGAAGTTTGAGATGAAACCTTCTGAAGACGGCGCGTTCTTCATCGACCGAGATGGAACCCACTTCCGGTTTATACTCAATTATCTTCGTAACGGAGAGTTGGTTTTACCAGAAGGAGCAACATTTCTTAGGGAACTTGAAACTGAAGCTAAGTTTTTATCAGATTCAAGGAATAATTGACGAGTTAAAGCCTTGTAAACCTGCAGTTGAAGCACGCAAACCTACCACACCATTTCAGCCATTTGAGTCGGTGATTCTGACGAATGAAGAGCATCGAAGCGTGTTGCAAGGTTGGCTGCCTCCACAAGACGGCAAATGGCGTGTTCTGTTCCGAGCTTCTCGAGATGGCTTCGCTACGAAAACCTTTCATTCCAAATGTGATAACAAAGGACCCACGGTGACCATTGTGCAGAGTGGAAACAATATTTTTGGAGGATTTACAGAAGTGCCGTGGAAAAGTAAGTAGACTAATGGATGAAAGGTCGTAATCTGCACATTCATTCTAGCACACTTCCCTCCCTTCTCTCCACTACATCTCATCATTTGTTAACGTTCCATTAATTTGTTTACAGTGCTGAACCACGGTTTAATGACGGCTTTAATGAACTCGTTCGTGATATCTGATGTTGGTTAATTATTTCGTGCGGTTTTATATAATATCAAAATGTTCGTTTTTAAAATATATCCAAGGTGTCTGACTGTTTCTTAGCATGCAATCGGGCACGCAAGCTGTTTTCCTATGTTTCAGTGCAGTACAAAATCGGGTGCGCTAATCTCCACCTGACGAACTTTAATACTGTGAAATTTATAGAGTGTTTACCATTTACATGGAAAAACCGGTTGGTTCACGGTTTGTGCAAATGGTAAGCAAAACTCCCGAATGGGAAATTCCGTTCGAGATTGGCGTGTACCATTTGCGCAATTCATTCCAATTGACAGAGAGAGTGTGGTAACTAGATTCAAGATGGTGGCAGAGGTAGCGAGGTAGAGGAAGTTACAAACAACGCAAATCAATCTTCAATCAATCTTTATTTCACTTTCACCATAAATTACAAGTAACAATAAACAAAATCATATTAGGTGTAAAATGACTGGAGTCCAAAGGAAGTATAGCTTGTGGTCGCTTGTGGTATGGACCCCACAAATAATACAAAACTTATAAAATGGTGGTCGAGTGATGGGAAATTACTTTTCGATTATGAGTACGACAGAGAGATCCACAAAAACTGCAGCTTTCATGAAGAGAGATCTTAATAGGATGGTCGGTTTTCATGAGGTTGCGGTGCCGTCTTTAGTTGATGAGTTCAGATTCCACTAAGTTTCGAATGACCAAAAATATAATTATACTGTCGAAGTACTTACGCAAGAGTTGGCAGCTTAAGGTGCAATTCCTACAGGAAATCGATTTGGGGGAAACCGATTCCACTACATAAGCAGATTTTGGCTTTTCTTTGAAGTACATGTCGAACATGGAAGTACATATAATGCAGTATAAATGCAGCCACGCCAGAAGCCATGTTGTTGACATTCAGAAACGCGAGCTGAGTTTGCCACGCTTACGGATCAAAACTGGCGCAGGGCCTGGAACTGGTAGATAAGAGCAAATGGTAAACACATTTTCCGTTCGGAAATTCCGGTTGGAAATTTTGGAGTACCTCTGAAGACGTTCCGTTTATTTCGGAAATTTTCCGGTCGGGCAAACCAAAATAACCTTACCATTTACATTCCAACCGAAATTTCCGGATTTTTTGGGTAAATGGTAAACACTCATAGTCTCCTTAGCATGCAGCCGTTATTTGGGTCGTCACGCAAGCCTTCTGGGAGGAGCGTTGCGTGACGACCCAAATTATGGCTACGAATTACTTATTCTCGCCCCCAGAGTCCGCGATCCTTTTGGTCAGCACCAAGAATCATGACCTCTGGTCGGCCTCTATTTTTACTCAGATCTCATTAGCTGGTAAAACAAAGAAAAGACGAAAGATAGCTAAAAAAGAACAGAATCCGGTTTTTCTATATATCCGATTGGGAAAATGCCTGGGATCGAGGTTGTATATATCCAGTTGTTCCTTACCCTCGAGTTCGTTAGGCCGGGGTTCCACTGTATTAATAATCTATCTCAAAAATAATCTAGTATCATCAATTAATTAATATCTAATATTCATTTTCAATAGATTGTTAGATATTTGAATTTAGTGGCAACCTGACCAAAAATGCTGGGGTTAATCCGCGAATCGAACTAGCATCCTTTCCAGGGGGAGTAAAATTACTCCAGACTCCGTGCACATAAAGAAACTTGACAG